ACCCTTGACCCCTCGCTCATTTAACTATTGGATGCTGTCTCTTTTATTTCTTAACCCTTCGCCACCCACTGTCGTTCTCCCACTCCCCATGTCGTGCAGGACGTGACAAGGGACCAGGCTGAATCCAGTTATATGACCCCAGTGCTACAAGGGGGTCTTCATCAGTGAGCCCTGGGGGTTTGCCTTGTTTCCAGGCACTGTCCTAAGTGCTTTGTGAGCATTCAAAGCAGTGATGACCATAGCGCTAGGCTGACTGTCCACACTTTCATAGATTCAGCCAGGAAGGAATCTTTGTCTCTCTGCCCCTCCCTCTCTCCCTCCCTTCCTCCCTCCCTCTTTCTCCCTCCCCCACATCCTCCCTCCCTCCCTTCCTCCCTGCCTCACTCCTTCCTTCCTTCCTTCTGTAACTGCCATAGTGATGAATAAATTTGCTTACATGTTTTCAAACACACACATAAAGACAGCTCAGAAAAACGTTTCAGAAATGGCATTATGAAGTCTGAATTAACGTCATACTTTTAACTTTATTGGTGTTTTTTTTATTATAAAGGCAATATATGCACTTTGTGAGAAAAAGACACATTAGAATATACAGTAAAGCATAATGAAGGCAATTAAGACAGCACTGTTAGTAGTTAACGTTTTCCACAATTTTTCTGCAGATATATATATATATATGTGTGTGTGTGTGTGTGTGTGTGTGTATGTGTGTGTATATATGAAAGTGTGTGTATGCATAAAACTGTGGAAGACACACACTGTACATATTATATATGTATCAATCAATTAATCTATACTTTTTATGAGGTCAGACAATTAGTTTGCAAACTCATCCTAGAAAAAGTGCTACATACCTCATTGCTGAATAACACCACAGTCACCTTCGAAGTAGTCTTCTTGGGAAGCTATGCACCACTGCCAGTGCCTAGTCCACCCTTCAATGCAATTTTGGAACTCTTTTTCTGGAATGGCCATCAGAGCTGTCATCATATTACCCTTGATGTCCTGAACATCATCAAAATGTCTTCCTTCCAATATTTCCTTTATCTTCAGGTAAAGAAAGAAGTCACTGGGGGCCAGATCAGGTGAGTAGGGAGGGTGTTCCAATACAATGATTAATTTACTGGCTATAAGTTCCCTCACAGTGCCGTGTGATCTGGTGCAAAGCACTTAGGACAGTGCCTGAACACAAGGCAAACCCCCAGAGCCCACTGATGAAGACCCCCTTGCGGCATTGGGCCACAAGTGGGCAAGAGCCATGAATTGTTGGTGAAAAATTCAGGTTGTCTAACTTTTTCATGCAGCCTTTTCAGTACTTCCAAATAGTAAACTTGGTTAATTGTTTGTTCAGTTGGTGCAAATTCATAATGAATAATCCCTCTGATATAAAAAAAGGTTAGCAACATTGTTGCAACAAACTCATGAACTTAACTGTCAGACTTCATGTAACTATGGTCCCAACAGATGCTGCTTTGCATTACTTATTTCCAACTTATCAAATTATTTGCATTTTATGCATCAGTAAGCACCTTTTTCCAGGGTAGTTCCTAACAGAAAACAGATTAGGTCAACACGTGCTGTGCCCGCATTTAAGCAATTCTGGTTGTTGGGTATTTCTGCTGCTTCTCTGCCATCAGCAATGCTGAGATGGGCATCAGCGTTCTGATGGCCCATGGTGTCGATTAGGATAGTGAAGAAGTTAAAAGCACACTTGCTGGTGAGGAAGAGGCAATGGAATTAGAGCACAGAGTTCTGCACATGACCTGCTCCAGCCTGCATCCTATTGGTTGGCTCTGGTTGGTGATGGAGCAACCAATGGCCACGCTACCCATGATGTCACACCCCAGGTGCTAGGGGGTTTCCAGACTTTCTCTAGGAGCCTCCATATTCCACCCTCAGTGTGACTGGGCTGGTTCCCTCTCTTCATTGTCCCCTATGAGTACTAGCCCCCCCAAGCCTAGCCCGCCCCTATGGATACCCTCAGCCCTCCTCCATCACTCCCCACTTACCTCCTTGCCCATCTGGTCTTGTCTTCCAGGTCTGATGTGGACACTCATGTGGCCTGGTTTGTCCTATGGGAAGAAATCAGAGAAGTCACATCTCAGGTGTGTAGGAAACTAAGAGAACAGAGAAGAGTCCTGGTTAGATGAGAGGTTAGCTTCATTCCAAGGCCTCCCTCGTGAGAGACCTGAGGAGTAGGAGGGGATGAATCTGGGGGCTTAACCTCTACATCAAGAGTCCTTATTCCCCATACTGTTTAAATATTTCTGAGGTCTTAAAGTCACTGGAGGAAGATACCTTCAGGCAAGTGCTGGGTGGGGGTTGGGGGTGGAAGGAAAAGAGGCTGGGTGTACTTGGGGAACAAGGTAGCAGTATCTGGCCTAATTACTGATGATGATGATGATGATAATTTATTTCATGCCTATTGTATGCCAGGCACTATGGTAGATGATTTATACAAATTATCTTGAACCCTTCCAACAGTTACACCAGTTGGTACTTTAACCCCATTTTGTGGACAAAGGAACAGGAAGGGGTTCAGAGAGGTGATGTCACTTTCTCCAAGTCACACAGCAAGAAAATGACAGAGGCCAATATTCTACCCTTGTCTCTCTGATTCCCAGCCCAGACTGTAGACCTCAGACCACAAAAAGGTGGCACCACTAAGGGTAATGAGACAGTGAAAATGTTTGGTTGACTCCTAGCTGAAGAGAGGGTGATGCCTGTCTAGGGGGCTTCTTCTAGGGTGTAGTAGAAGAGGTGAATCAGATCTCCTGGAGACACTCTTAAACTGCAAAGAGTTTATCACAACCAGCTTGGAAATTGCACATTGAATGATGATGATGGTATTAATAATAACATCTGAAATTCTACTCAGTGGTTACTATATGCCAAACCTTGTTCCAAGATCTTTATCAGTAATATCTTACTTTCTCCCCATAAGAGATACCCCTGTGTGATCGGTACCAGTATTACTCCCATTTTATAGATGATAAAGTAAAGTACAAGTAGGCTAACTTGCCTACTGTCATATTGATGGCAAATACTGTAAGCTTCTTGACGTAGAGAGCACATAATGATGACAAATAGTCTCAACATCAAAATAATAAAATATAAAAAGAATGTATCTTCTAAAATCTTCACCATCATCACTATAATCAGTACCTCTGTCACCAACATTACCGTCACCACCATTACCACCACTATCACCATTGTCATCATTATCACCACTATACTTATAATTTCCATCATCATCATCATCATCATCATCATCATCATCATCATCATTGTCACCATCATTATCATCTCTGCTATTCTTAAAATCTACTACAGTGGTTCTCAACCAGGGCAATTTTGCTCCCCATGGGACCTTAGTATTGCCTAGAGTCATTTTGGTTGTCTAAACCAGAGCTTAAGGTGGTTGTTGCTACAGACATCAAATGGGTAGAGGCCAGGATGCTGCTAAATGTCTTACAATGCACAGGACAGCCTTACCCCCACCACTACTGAAAGAATTATCTGACTCTAAATATTGATAGAGGTTGACAAACTGGTCCACTCTGCGGAGAATGTTGCTAATCGCTTCATCCTCTAAGATGTGTATCTAACCTTCCCATTACCTTCAGGGCAGGTGTGACCCTTCACATCTTCCAGTGGGTCTAAGAAGATCTGAGAAGAGAAATGATCGGCTCAATTTCACCTAGCCAGCTAGGGGCTGAGCTGGAATTTGAATCCAGATTTTAAAAAAAAAGATTTTATTGGGGAATTGGGAAAAAGGAACAGCCAAGTTGCTGTCTTTTAATCTCAGTTGTGGAGGGCGCAGCTAGCTCAATTCCAAGTCCAACTGGCATCTGGCCACTCGTCGGCAGCTCAGGGCCACACAACTGGAGACAGAGGAACGTTCACCTGCTGAGTGTGGCGCCTGCTGGTGCCCAGGTGCCTCTGCCAGTGTGTGTGGAGTGAGAGTCAGGAGGCTGGTGCCTGGGTTGCTCCTGCTGGGAAATATGAGAGAGGACAACAGGAGGGGAAGGAGCTACTCTAGGCCAGTGGTGACCTCAGTGCAGCTGGGATGAGGCCCAACAGCTCAACCTTATTCTCAGGTTCAGCTTCAGGAGTGCCAGCGACATGGACCGTCTCTGTCCTGCTGTTGCTAGGACAGGGGTGTGTGGTTGGCTTGTCCTGGGGATCCTGCTCCTAGAGGTGATGGGACCTTGATGAAGGCCCTGGAGACCGTCCAGCTTGTAGGATGCAGAAGTTCCTGGGAATGAGAGACACAGGGGAGGGGGTGGTGGGGCAAGCCCAGGGCTGGCGGGACAGCAGCTAAACATCCCCTCCTTTGTGCAGCCTCTGCTGACCCTCCACGGGGAGAATTTGTGGGCTTCCTGCACTGTGTTCCACAATAGCCCAGCCAGGCAGGCTAGGGGCTTCCTGAGGTCCATTTCTGTCTGCTCGCCCCCAGCCCCAGCCCCAGCAGAGGGCCAGCTCATAGGCGGTGTCCAGTGAACACTGCAGGAATGGATGAGCTGGTGTTGCCACGTGGAGGTCAGAGAGTTGATGGCAAGAAGGGAGGGGGCAGCTTCAGAAGATGTTTAAGCGTCTGCACTGCCTAAAGCTAGACCATCAGAGGGCATAAGCGTGGCCTATGTGGCAGACCAGGGGAAAGGGAAGTGAGAAATGAGGTCAGACCTGGAGGTCAGCTGAGGGCGTTGTGAAGTGCCAAGTGTCACGTGAGCAGAGAGAATGCAGGGGAAGGTGGGAAGTGCCCACATCTATTTCTGTGATTTTACCTCTTAACTGACCCGGGGTCCCAGCAGGGTCCCATAGCTGGGAGTCTTCTTTCTTGTCCCTTCAGAGTCCAGTCAGCTCACTTGTGCCCAAGAGCAACCAGCTGACAGAACCTCCAGCTCCACAGCCTCTACCAGGCAGACCCCATAGATTGTCTCTCTCTCTCCCTGGAGGGGAACATCTCAGGGTGTCTGCTGCGTCTCTTTGGCCTCCAGCCCCCATACAGGGCAGATGCTCACAGGCCCCACATCCTCATTGCGAGCACCCTGGAGTCTGGCCATTCCAAGAACCTGACGTGCTCTGTGCCCTGAGCCTGTGAGCACTGCACGTGCCCCATTTTCTCCTGGACTTCAGCTGCTGACACTACCCTGGGCCCCAGGACCCTCCTTTCCTCTGTGCTCACCCTCACCCCTCGGCCCCAGGACCATGGCACAAACCTCACCTGTCAAGTGAAGTTCCCTGCAGTAGATGTGACCATGGAGAGGACCATCCAGCTCAAAGTCACCTGTGAGTGCTGGGCCAGGAAGGGGGTCTCTGGTGCGGGTTCTGAGGGCAACGGGGATGGGGGTCAGGGCCTCGCACACTGGGTGTTGGGACCTGAATCTGGTCTGGGTGGGGGTCAGGGGGATGCCTGCCTCCACCCTTCCCCACTTATGCAGCCCATTGACTTGGGTTCACCATGTCTTTCTGTCCCAGACTCTCCACAGAACTTGACCATAACTGCCTTCCAGGGTAATGGAACAGGTAGGAAGGAGCCTTTCATGGGCTGTAAGGAGCATGGCCTCTTCCAGCTTAGTGCACGGCTGGGTCCTGCCTCATCTTGTTGTCCCCCCCGTGGCCAGGCACCTCCTTGTGGGTAAACCCAGTGGTCCCCCTCTCCTCAGCCCTCATGGCCCCTGTGAACAGCTATCCCCAATGGCTCCCTGTCCCCCAATGATTCTCCCCATGTTCCTTGGCTGCACCAGGAGAACAGGGCATCATCCACATGGAGGAGCCCAGCAGGTCCCTCATCATCCATCTCCTGACGACTCCTCCAGCTTGTCCGTTTATTTCCCTTCGATAGTCTTTAATTTACATGTTTTTGAACAGGTGGTATAATCAAACGGCAAAAATTCAAAATGTACACCCAGTTTGTCCTTAGATGCCCAGTCCCCTCCCAGGAAGTGACCAGTATCCACACACTGCTCTGAGCATTGGTCTGTTCACCTAAAGAAGCGGTTCTCAACCTTCTAAACTGCGACCCCTTAATACAGTTCTTCATGTTGTGGTGACCCCCAACCATAAAATTATTTTCGTTGCTACTCTATAACTGTAATTTTGCTACTGTTATGAATCGTAATGTAAATATCTTTTTGTTTTCCGATGGTCTTAGGCGACCCCTGTGAAAAGGTCGTTCAACCCCCAAAGGGGTCACGACACACAGGTTGAGAACCGCTGACCTAAAGGCTAAGAATCCCTTGACATCAGAAGGACAGATGTGCTTATCTCTCTCTGTGCCTGTGAGGTGTTCCCTACCTGGATGGATTCTGGTTGTGCACACATCTTCAGTGGAGAACCATGGCATTAACTTTTTGTCTGAATGGTACATATCACATTTTTTTCATTTATTGATCAGTTGATGGACGTTTGAATTGTTTCCAGTTTTTGGCTGAGCTGCTGTGAACATTGGTGTACCTGTTTTTGTGTGAACATATGTCTTCTGTTTCCTTGGGCATAGACTTGGGAGTGGAATTGCTGGGTCAAGTGGTGATTTCTATAGTTATCTTTTTGAGGACATGCCAGACTGTTTTCCACAGTGGCAGCGTTATTTTCTGTTCCCACCAACAATGTAGGAGGATTCTAATTTCTCAACCCAATTACCAGCATTCTAGTTTCACTTAAAAAGAAATGAGAGGCTACTAGTGAGTGTGAGGGGCTATTTCATCATGGCTCTGAATTCCATTTAAGTAATGATAATGATGTTTCTCATTTTTTTTCACAGATATATATATATATATATATATATATATATATATATCCATACATATGAACCATCTGCATGGATTCTTTGAAGAATTATTTTTTCAAGTCCTGTGCCCATTTTTAACTGTGTGATTGGCTTTGCAGTTTTTGGTTGTAAGAGTTTTTTATACATGCTGGATAGTAATCCATCTCAGATCTCTGAAGAGCAAATATTTTCTCCCATAAAATAATTTGGCTTTTCGGTGTCTGCATAATGTCAATTGATAAACAGAATGTTTCATTTGATGAGTTCCAGCTGTGTAGTTTTCTCTGAGCCCAACTTCTGAAAGATCAGGACATGGGTTGGGGTGAGGGCATCGGTGGTCTCACATCCAGTGTTGCAGGGAGGCCCAGAGGACAATGTCCAGAGTTCTACTGGGAGAGGAAGACACACAAGACTGCAGCTGAGCAGGTGAATCTGTCCTTGTCTCTAGTTCCTACAGGGAAATCAGGGTTCAGGGCAGAGGTGATGCTGGTGGCCATCGGGGAAGTGGCTGTCAAGACCTTGTTCTTCCTTCTTTGCCTCATCATCCTCAGATGACTTCTGCCCAGGGAGAGGGGAGGCATGGGGAGGGCAGGAGGCATGTGACTGAGTACCAGATTCAAGGCTGGAGGAACCTGAACGAGCTACAGGTGGGCCTGGAAGCAGGTGAAGCGGTGGTGAGTGAGGATTCCACACGGGCAGACATCGTGTGTGCCCCAGTTGGCAAGTGTCCAGGATGGAGGTACCTTCTGTTCTCAAGCTGGTCTGCATGGCTAGACCTGCCTTTTCCAAAATCTGACTCCCCCAAGATCGTGAACAGGGAACATGTGGCAGGGTATGCTGCCCACTGCACCCTGATCCAACCAGACTGAAAATCCCTGGTCTCTTCTCTCAGAGTGAGGTATCACAGGAGGAACAGGACCACATCCACAGCATGCACAGAGGATGCAAATGCCATCCCGGGTTACAGTCTCAGGTGAGTGATGTGGGTGTCTCACCCCCCAGAATCATACAGACACCTTGTCCAGAATGACCCCCAGAATTTCTCTGCTCAACATGGCCAAAGCTGAGCTATCCCCTTCCTTCCTGCCCGTACCCACTCCTTTCTGAGTTCTCTGTCATACAGGTGACACAGTGGCTCCCTCCTCTAAAGATGTGGTTCTCCATTTGCCCTCCCGCATTCTCTCTAATCCAATAAATCACTAACTTCTTCATATTCCTCCTAATCACAGCTCACCGTAATGCCCATCTGTTCCCCATCCTCACATTGGTAGTTCCTGCCACTTCATCTTTTCCTTGTGTTTGTGAACCCACCAACCTCCTGCCTCCATCTCACTCCTCAGCACAGGGTTCCAGACAGTGTTTCCAGAGACTGTATTGTTCACTTCCTGTGAAGTATGACAGCAACGTTTCCTGGCTGTGGCCTGAGACCCAGATGCAAACACCACAGGCTGCATTGGAGGGTCTGCTGTGGTCTGTCCCCTGCTGGACTCCCCACCAGGTTCCACCATCCCCTTTGTGACTCTAGACTTATATGTGTAGTTCCTTCTCCTGAAATGCCCTTCCCGCCCCATTCCTACACCCCAAAGTGCTGACCATGCTTCAGGCTCAGTTAAAAGTCACCCCTATTGGAGTGTGAGTATGTGTGTGTGTGTGTGTGTGTGTGTGTGTGTGTGTGTGTGTAATTCTTTATGGTTTTGAGCAAAGTAAAATCAAGTCATCTATTTATGGTCTTCTTCATCTAGTTAGCTGAACACCTACTATGTGCTTACATTGTTGTAATTTCCAGAAATGCAACAGTGCACATGGCATCAAAAATCCTTCCTCAAGAGACTGTCATTTTTGAGGCAAGAGGATAAAAATACAAAGAAATGAATACAAATACAATGGCATGTTGGATGGTGATATGTGTTTGTGGAGAAATCACCTAAGGGAAGAATCAGGTGACACATAGGGGGACAATTCCCTACAACTGAGAGTGTGAAGAGTGATGTTTAAGCATTGACTTGGAGCCAGTGATAAAGCAGGTTGTGTGCTGTCTAACAAAGATCACCCAGAAAGACAGAAAATCAGTGTCACAGCTCTTAGGCGGAAGCAGCTTGGCATGTTGTGGGACAAGTGGCATTGTGACAGCATATGGAGCCATGAGAGGTGGCTGCTGAGAGTGTGGTACCTCGTGGAAAACCCATGTGAGGCCTTGCAAAAAATGCAGTAATCTGGGAGTCTTGGAGGAGAGCAGAGACATGACAGAGTGTCCCTTGTAGCAGCATCCCCATGGCTGCTCTGATCACAATAGGCCAGAGTGTGACCATGGCTGCAAACAGAGAGAGGGCATGGAGGGCAGGAGGTGATGGTGGTTGAACCAGGAAGGTCGGGGTGAGGTCGAGGTTTTACCTTTGCATATATTTTGAAGGTCAATTTAACTGAATTTCCTATTGGATGTGGAGAAAGAGAGAAAGAGAAGAACAGGGATGGTGCCCAGATGTATTTTCCGAGCACCTAGAAGGATGGGGACGTGTTTCATGGATGCAGACTGGACGGTTTGAAAGGTGATGTTCATTCTGAGCAGCCACTTGATAGCGACTGGGGCTGCCAGTGAGAGAGCTGGATATGAGGATAGGAGTCCAGGTTGGAGAAATGAACACGCACAGCCAGTGTAGGTGATGACACCTGATGAAATCAGAAGTCTGATGGCACATGGAAGAGAGAAGGCACAGGCAACACATTGTCTCTGATGATCCTGACAGCAGTTGTCTCATGGTTGGTGGGAAAGGTGTGAAGATGTGACCGAGCTGGCTCAGGAGATTCTGGAGGAGGGGATGGGAAGGGTGGTTACAGATGTGCCTTTGAGGAATTTGGCTGCAAAGAGGGACAGAGGAATGGATCTGGTGAAGGAGGACTTGCTCTGGTGCTTCTCTGCATTTCCCACCTGTACTGGTTTCCTGGGACCACTGTAACAAATAATCACATGCTTGGTGTCTTGAAGAAAGAAAATTTATTTTCTCAGTTCTGGGGGGCTAGAAATCTGTGTAGAGAGGAAAAATATCTTCTCCCTCTGCCCCTCTACCTATGTTCTCAACTGAGAGCCTTGTAACAAAGAAACATTAGGCGCCACGTCTTGGGGTAATGTGTCCTGAACCTCATTCTCTGAAATCAGTTTTGCTGCCACCGGCTCTCCCTGACTTGTGGCTGCATGACTGCTCTGTCTCTGTGGTCACATTGCTGCATCCTGCTCTGTGTACAGTCCTTAAAGGACACTTGTGACTAGATCCAGGGGCCAACGCTGATAGTCTAGGATGATCCTTATCTTAATCCCAATGTACACCACTTATCCTTATTAGGGAACATTTGCAGGTACCAGGGACTAAGACCTGGATATCTTTGGGTGGCCATTATTCAGCCCGCTGGACTGCTCATGTGACCTTTTGCCACCCTGAATGTCCCCATCTGCCTCCCAGGCCTTGTTTACTCTGCTTTTTCATGTCCAGATAATTAGTGGGTCACCTCATGAGTGACATATGTTTTAGGGAACAGTAGTTTGCTCTTCTGTAAAAGCCAATATTAAGAGAGCTACAAGAAAATATTAAACACGAAAGAAAAAATCTGCAAATATATACTTGATCAATGACTTGTATACAAATATACAGGACTCTCAAACAAAACAGTATGTAACAAACAAGGAAATAAAACTAATTGTTTAAAAGAAAACCTCACTCAACAACAAAAAGCAAACAACCCTATTTAAAAAATTGGCAAAGGACATTTACTAGACATTTCCCTGAACTTATACAAAAGGAAAATACACGTGAGAATATGCTCAACATCACTAATATTAGGGAAACGCAAATTACAACCATAGAATGAGGTCCTCCACCCATTGTTCCATAAGATGGTTATTATTTTTTTTAAAAAACTAAAACAGGAAACAAGAAGTGTTGGTGACATTGTGAAGCAAGCGGAACTCTATGCTTTGCTGTTAAGGTTATAAAACTGTGCATCTTCTTCGAAGTTCCTCAAAACATTAAAAACAGAACTACTATATGATCCAGTAATTTCACTTCTGGGTATGTACCCCCAAAAATAGAAAGCAGGACCTTGAATAGGTATTTATACATCTCTGTTCATAGCAGTATGATTAACAATAACTAGACGGTAATTGCAACCTAAGGACCCATCAACAGAGGAACTGAAGGACTAAATGTGGTGAATACATTCAATGGAATATTATTAAGTCTTTAAAGGAAGAGAATTATGACAAATGTTACAATATGAATTGAAGACACTATGTGAAGTGCAGCAAGCAGTCAGAAAAGGACAAATTCTATATGATCCCACCTACATGAAGTCCCTGGAGGAGGCAAATTAATTGACACTGAATGTAGAATCGTGGTTGCCTGGGTCTGGCCCAGTGCAATGCATGGTTCTTCTTTTCATGGGCACAAAGTTTCAGTTTGGGAAAAATGAGTAGTTTTCGAGAAGGATGGTGGTGACGGTCTCACACCAACGTGGCTGTACTGAACACCACAGACACAGATAATTAAAAATGGTTAAAATGATAAAGTTTTATTATGCATATTTTACCATAATAATAATAATAAAAAACAGAGGCAAAGGATGTAATCAGCAAATTCACTAAAGAAGAAAAATAATGGCAACTAAGCATATGGAAATATGCTCCACACCACTTCTTAGGACATTATAGATTGAAACCACGATGACATACAATGGAATACTGCTTAGTAATAAGACATTACAAACTACAGATACATACAACTGGGATCAACATCCAAAGTATTGTGCTGAGTGACAGAATATAGACACAGATGAGTACATTTCTAGAACTTCTCCTATAGGCAGAATTACTTCACCATGATGGAGAGTATATCAGTGTTTACCTGGGGCTAGCGGTGGGTGTGACGAGCTACAAAGGTGTGGGGTGGTGGAAATCTTTTATATCCTGATTGTGGAGGTCTACATTTGTTAAAATTCACAAAAATGCTTATTTCAGTGGGTACAGTTTATTTCATGTAAATTATAAAGTTCTTTAAAGAAACACAGTGAGAAGTCACAGAAGCTTTTCATCTATGAACATGGTATAACTTTCTTTAGTATACATCCAACTGTGTTGGGCCTTCTGTTATATGCTTACTTTTTTTTTTAACAACCTAGAACAAAATATCATTTTCTTATGGGTGACTCATTTCCTCATACATCAAATAAGGGTCCCAAATCTCTCTATGTTAATAACACTGAAGGACCATATATTTAGACACTACTGTTTTTGAAAGATTTTACAAATATATCATGGCAAATACTTTTATGTCACTGGGGTCAAGAATTTTCTGTGACACACACTGAGTGAGATGGAAAACCACATTAGCTGAACCTAAAATTTTAATTGTTGCTGCATATTCCACTCAGGTTTTCCAGAAATATCATATTTTGAGCTACATTTAACTGTGAGAAGCAGACTTTTTTCAACAACTCTTACTTATTTTTACTTTATGTAGAAATTAGACCCTTTATAGTCCCACAAAGGATTTGAGGTGACTTACAATTTTATAGCTCTTCCAAGGTAGCAATTCTTTTAAGGCAGAACAGAAATCACCTAGGAAAAATTACATAATTGTACTATGAATCTAGAATGAACCTGTTTCTGAAATTATGTAGTAAATATAACCCTGAGATTCCTAGCCACCAATGCAACAAGGGGAATGTGAAATGTTATTGTCTGTTAAAAGAAAGTATGTAGTTTACTTGAAAAGGCAAATATCTTATTGCTAAAGACTGGGAGAAACATATCCCATATGGAAACCACATTGCATAACATAATGAGAAATGCCTTTAATGCATTTGTTTATCCACAACTTTGTTGTTGAGTAAGTGCTTGGAGAGCTGGAGGCAGATGTTTCACATGACAGGAAATGCTAATCTGTGTGATGAGGAAGTCAAACAGTCTCTGCAGTTCAAACAATACTGAGTGGTGGGAATCACAGAAAAAGCTTCCTGTGCACTGGCTCACAGAACATGTATTCTCTCTTTGTTTTACATGAAGAACCCACATCATTTTATTTTAGAGATGCCATTGAAATGTTACGAATCAGTATATTAAATGTTAATGCAAAACTCACTGATAATTTTAGAAATTACACAGCATGCTAGCAGGTTACAGGGTAATCTCACCAGTGACTGCAGCTCTAAAGCCTGGCAGTTGCATGTGTTTGGGGAGGAAATGATGTCACTGAGTGGGGACCATGTCACTGGCATAGACCAGGTCTGTCATTTCCCTCCTTGTGTCCAGCAAACCAACACTTAGATGCTCACTGAGTGTTTAGTGGATGGATGGATGCTGCCTTCACTTCACCTGGGATCTTCTTGTTTCTTCAAATCCAGATGCTCACACTAACCCTAAACAATCCTGCACTTTGCAGGACCAATAACCTGAAGGTCTGGTTGGGACTGTGACCCTCCAGACCAAAGCAGTGGGTGACTGGCTCTCTGGTGGAGACAACACTGCTCAGAACAGCCCCTCAGATGGGAGGACCTTAGGAGACTCCCGTGTCCTCAGAGGTCCTGGTCCTTCTCTGGTGCTGGAGGGAAGCCCCCGTGAGGGGCAGGACCTGAGTCCTGCTCCCTGTCTGCTCCTCTCTGGGTGGGTCTCTGGGTCTCTGGTCTGTGGGGTGTCCACCCTCAATGCTTAGGTGGAATGAGCTTCATCTCCGAGGTTCCTCTTCTGTGAACGAGGAGGCCCCGGGCTCCACCCCAGCTTCCGTGGTCTCCCCCAGTGCCCATCCCACTGCCTTCCTTCTCTTTTCTCCCACAGGAGCTGAGAAACCTTCCCTGTCAGAGATGCTGCTGCCGCTGCTGCTGCTGCCCCTGCTGTGGGCAGGTGAGTGGACGAGGGGAGGGGTGGTGGGGTGGGGGCTCTGCTGACCCTCTTTTCCTCACAGTTTCCCTGGCTGAGGTTGAAGGATACCAGCTGTCTGTGCAGGAGTCCGTGACAGTTCAGGAGGGCCTGTGTGTCTTCGTGCCCTGCAATTTCACCTATCCCCGGTACAATACAACGGACTTAACCTCAGCTCAAGGCACCTGGTTCTGGAGAGGGGCCAATAAAGTCCAAGGTGCTGCAGTGGCCACAAACAAACGAGGTCGCAAAGTTCAGGAGGAGACCCAGGGCCGATTCTACCTCCTCGGAAACCCTCAGAGCTATAACTGCTCCCTGGACATCAGAGATGCCAGGAAGAGCGATGATGGAAAATACTTTTTTCGAGTGGAGAGAGGACAAGGCAGGTCATGGACTTACATATCTAACTGGCTCTCAGTACATGTGACGGGTAAGTAATGGGCTCCAGGAGAGGCTACAGGCGAAGGACATGGGGATTCAGACAGGGCGGGGAGGGGACCCCCTCCTGGGAGGGAGCTGGGGTTCCAGCATATCTAGTCTCAGAAGCTGGAGCTGGACCAAAGCCTGGGGCTTCTCTCAGGACCGCACCTGGGACCCTCCCTCCTGATCCCGTGTCTTCCCGTCTCACCAGGCCTGACCCACATGCCTCACATCCTCATCGCGGGCACCCTGGAGTCCGGCCTCCCCAGGAACGTGACGTGCTCTGTGCCCTGGGCCTGCAAGCGGGGCACGCCCCCAATCTTCTCCTGGACCTCAGTTGCCCTTATCTCCTTGGGCCCCAGGACTTACCTCTCCTCTGTGATCACCCTCACCCCTCGGCCCCAGGACCACGGCACTAACCTCACCTGTCAGGTGAAGTTCCCTGCAGCTTGTGTGACCGTGGAGACAACCATCCAGCTCAACGTCACCTGTGAGTGCTGGGCCAGGAAGCCTGGATTCCTGAAGGTGTTGGGGGGCCAGAGGGTCTGGTGGGAACACTTGGTGTTTTTGTTCTGGAGGACTGGCTAAGTAGGGGACCCAGAGGACACAAGTGTTGTCCCTTCTGCATTTCTGTGGCTCTGGGTGTGTGGAGGGTGGTGCCTACATGAACCTAACCCCATACCTCCCACTAAGGAGGGAACTCCTCTCTTCTTGTCTTAGGTGCCCCACAGAACCCCAACATTGGTGTCTGCCTCGGAGACAGCTCAGGTAGGAAGGAGCCTCCTGTCCATGTGACACTGACTGAAGGGGGGTTTCTGCCAGGTGGATTCAGAGCTAAACTTTCAGAGTTCAAATGCTGAGGGTGGGGCCCGATACATGAGAGGCTTTCATCAGGAATCTTCCTCCATATTCTTCTTCTGCTCTTCTGCCAGGGTGACCCCCACACCCTCTCCTCCCTGCCCATCTTAAATGATGCTCTTTACCTTCTCCCGTCATAAAAGCTTTTGGGCATTTCCAAGTAGACTTTACTTTTTTTTTTTTAAGATTTTTTATTGGGGAGTCGGGGAGATGGGAACAGCGCTGGGGAATTGGGGGAAGGGGAACAGACAAGTTGCTGTCCTTTTGTTCTTCAGTCTAGTTGTGGAGGACGTTGTTTCACTGGCCCA